AGAGGTTCTGCACGATAAGTTGCCACTGGTGACACAAGAAGGTGATGTTATGGGAGGTCCGTGGACGTTAGTGGAAAGCAAAAACCGTGGGGAGGAAGGGGGTTCGTAAACGTTTATGGAACGCAAAGAACCAAGGGTGGAATCTCGACTTCTTGGTGATGTAGTGTCCGTCAGCGTGGAGGATACCGAACCAGTTATGCACAGTGAGTCTAGGATAACTATGTCTCTCCACATTGATCCAGAGCGGAAAGATCATAATTATCCGTCCACCTCCTGCTGTGAAGAACAAGATGATTGCACATATGTCCTTAGTACCGGTCGCAAAATGGTAATTCATCATACTGTCGAGTTGGAAAGCGACTCAACCTTGCTGGAGGTGCAGAACATCAAGTCCTCTGAAGATGTTGGCACAGTGGCATGAGAGGAGGCCAATTTCCCTAGAAGAGCTCCCAACCAGGGTAAGTTTTGTGAGTAATACCACTCACTCATTTGTCATTGTTCATCTCTGCGAAGACGCCTAACTCGAGGATCTCTAAGTTGCTCTTCCTCTCCCAAGGGGTTTGCTTGCTCTTTGTTTCGAGCTGCATTTCCCATGATTTCTGCACTCTTCGCCATAGTGAAACCACCATCTACAATGGGAGCAGTAAGGGGTGGACGCATTAACCACATCAACAACTACCGATTCCTCGTCCGAAAGTTATATTGTTAGGGATCGGTGGAAGGAAAACCGCGCAGATAACTCAAGATCAAAACGAACATTTGCAATAGAAGGCTCATTCTTATCTGGTTGGTAGTCGTGCATTTTCAGGATCTTCCCGACAGTCTTCTCAATTTGGAATCGGAAATGGAAAATTACCATCACCGGCACATTCAAACAGCGAATCCAGAAAAACTTGAATTTCATCGATTCCTTAAGTTGTTCCATTTCATTGGGTGGGAGGTAGGGGCGAAATTCAACACGGTAAGTTTCGTTTTCAAATTCAATCTTATCATCTCCCACACTCTTCATCCAATCCGCGTGCTGTTTCGAACCTGTGATCTGAGTCGCAAGATTTTTCCCTTCATGAATGAAGCAGCCTCTCTTATAATTTTTCGGTATAAGCCCATCTTTGATCCACGCTGCTTCATAAACTTGTACCATTTGTTTTTTAACGGGAACGGACAGGGTTCCGATTTCATTCTCGAAGACCAGGAGCACTTTCCGTTCGCTCAGTCATTCCTCCTGTATCGCTCTTATCTGGGGGTCCAATCTAAATCTTGAATGGTGCGGCCCCTGGTCAATTTCACCGTGATGGAGCCCTTCAGGCAGTTGCCCGTCCATAAAGCACGCTTCAAGCAACTCCCGTACCCGCACTCTATATGCCGGGTCAATGGGCGGCGGGGCCGGGACTTCCGCCTCGGCTCCGTCGTCCATGGTGTTCAAATTTCACAAATATGATCCCAAATAGGGTTTCGACAGTTTAGCTAGAAGCCTCAGTGAGTTTTGGTCCTGTTGCCTGCAACCAAACCACTATGGTGAGAGAGAGGGAACATAATTTTACCGGCAAGGTTGATGAGAGCTTGTCCCGCAGCCTGGCACAGAAGCAGCCAAGCAAAGTCTGATAATAGTAGACGAAACTCTGAGCGTTCTTCCAATCAGTAGCATTTGTCAAGATCCCAGCAATCGCAGACGAGTGGGTGGGGGGAACACAGACATCTTGCTCACCCGCTACTCACGGGTGAAGGCCATCTACGCGATGGTGCGAGCGTGACCTGTTACTCAAAGGATGTGTATCTCGCGGTCAATGGCAATCTCCGTGTAAACAAGGCGTGAGAGCGCTGCACTAATTAGGGTTAGCACAAACAGTCACCAGGTTAGCGCTAAGATTAGCGCAGCTAAAATTAGCGCTAGCTAAAATTAGCGCTAAGCCTGCCGCCGCCGTCCTGGACTCCCCCCAAGATTCCACCTATCAGATTTTGTCATTTTGTAGAAATTTTCTTTGACGTGAAATCCGTTTTGTAGTATGCTTTGGCCCTTTTGGTTTGTGAGGGAAACCATTTTCCTTTCAGAAAACTACCCTACCGAGGGTAGGGTACATTGCTCAACCGCAGTGCCTTTCTTTTTTTTTGTTTTTTGAGACATCATTACATCCTGAAACGGAGGAACTCTGACAGCTGTGTTTAGCTCTCTGGCATCAAACTCGTTTCCTTCTTTGGGCAATGAATGCATCTGGCCATCCACCTTGTCCCTGTCCATTTTACAAATGGTGACCTCCTGTCCCCTCACCACGGGGAGTATCCCTCTTTCGCGGAGACAGTCACTCCGACAGTTCCAGACATGTTTCATTCCCCGAGTTTCGTTGTCAAAAACAAGGAGAAAAGCTGTTTCTATGGTTTTTTTTTTTTTTTTTTTTTCAAGGTTAATGCTTTTAGCCCAACCAATTCAATTACCTGTCGAATCTGGACAGGACGGCCTTTCAGGCCTTTATTTTATTGTCATTATAGTATTGCAGGGAAACCCGTAGCATCCACATCCGTGCTCAAGCCTCCAACGAGGGAACATGCAGGAGCTGCACCCACCAGCAGGTGCGACACCTGCTACAGCAGGTGGGTGATACCGGCCAGGGGTCAGCTGGTAGCATCAGGACCGAGCTTCTTCTATGGGCCAGTCACTGTGCCTCCCCTCCGGTCCCCTCCCCCTATGAACACCAGCAGTCTCTGCTCAATGCCACAACGGGGGACCAATGTCATATCTCTAGGTGGCGGGCGCCACGCTTGCCCAGGAAGGTACATGAGGCCGATGGGGAGTGAACCCAAGACCCTTTTTTTCAGTTTTGCAATTTCTTGTTTCAAATTTATTAATGTTGAAATGGCGTCACACGGTTGAGTTTTCTAAACTCAACAACGGTAGGTGGGACCAGACCCCAGGTTAAACCACCAGTACTTGGCCCAGCTATCAAGTCTGAGCCTCCAGCGACCGGTATGTCGAGCTTGGCAGTACCAGTGGCTGGACGGGCCGAGGCTGGGGGGACCAGTTGGAAAACAAAAACAGCAAAAAAAAAGAAACAAACAACAGCGCTGGGGATGTGAATGCAGTTGGATGCATTCTTCCAAGTGCTACTAGTAGTGTGAGCGCGTTGCAGTTTGGGTGTATCAGCCCCGTGGCTTTTTTGTCAGAATTCAAAAGTTAAAAAAGTGTGATGACCCGTCCAAACATGGACTGAAACACACAGCTGATTTCTGAGTTTTGCCCATAGACTGAATGCCCTGCTGAGTTTCCCGCTTGCTACTAAGTCTGTGTATGCACGCTTGCGGGACCTGTCTGAGCGCTGGTTGGCTTGAGTGTGTGTGTGGCCGTGCCTGTCTGAGTGCTGGTTGGCTTGAGTCTGTGTGTGGCCCGCAAGGGCACTTGCTCGTTCACTGGGCCCTCAGGGCCGGTACTTACCTGTGGCCGTGACATTAAACCACCAGTACCTCGCTCAGCTATTGAATCCAAGCCTCCCAGCACGCTGCGCGCCAAGTCCTGCCGAACCACCGTCGCAATTTTCTTTTTCGTTTTGCCTGCGGCCTCCAGCCAATGCGGTCTGGCAGGCCGAAGCCCAAATGGCATACAGGAAGCGCCGCGGCCGATTGCTGGGCCAGGTACTGGTGGTTTAAGGGATTGCAGCAGGAAAAACAATCAAGTAGCGGGTAGGCCGGTACCGCACCCTGAAGGGGTAGATGTGCAGGTACTGGAGGCCGAGCAGAAGAAGACAAAAGTGGCATTTTTAGAGGCCCAGTAGTTGTAGGTTAGGTCTAGGTGGATACCAGTCCAACCAGTCTGGGTCTAGGGCCTGTACAGGCAATATCAGAGTCTGCAATGATGTTTCCCTCCAAAAGGGAGGAGGTACCGGTTGCTTGGAAGGCCGAGCGGCCTGGAAGTCACCGCCCAAGAGGCAAAGCAGGCCGCTATATCTTCCAGCCGGGCGGAGAGTCCGGCCTCTTTTTCGGTGTGCAAGTTTGGCCACACACTGGTGGAGCGCTGGCTGGAGCAGCGCTATGCTGGAGCAGCCCTGCTGGGGAGGAAGGAGAAGGACATGAGGGAAGAAGGAAGGAAGGGGGAGGTGCGCCAGGGGTACTTACCCAGCTATGGTGGCAGCCATCTTCATCACCTTGGTGGGCGCTGCAGCAGGGAGTCCCCTACTGGGGAAAGCCACACCAAGAAGCTTCGAGGCAGGTTCAGGCATGGCGGCCTGAGCTGGAGCAGCCATAGCTGCTTTGGGTTGTCCTTTGGGCATCTGGGCAAGGCCTAGTAGTCCGCCATAGCCTCGGCCTATGAGAGTGAAGAATGGGAGAGGCGGCCATGGCTATGGTGGACGTCAAGTGATACCTGCAGCAGAAGAGGGACTCAGACATTGATTCTGGATCAGCCATTCAACATTGTATTATTATTTCTTGTATGAACAAGAGAAGGGGGAGATAAGGAGGAGGAGATTGTTGGGCGAAGAAGAAGAGCCTTGTCATTTGTTTATGCTGGTGTACATCATCTTCTTCTTCTTCTTCTTCTTCTTTCTTACTTCTTCTTCTTCTTCTTCTAATCCTCTCTCTTCTCTCAAGTTCATTCATTTCTTTCTGCAATTGGGCGGCATTGTACTATCTGATGGATGTGTATCTCGAAATTGGCCAGGATCATAACAAAAGGAAAATACAAACAATCTCAAAGAAAGATTATACCTTTCTAGGCCTTTTGGCTAAGATCAAGTGTAGTATCTGCTCTGATCAGTTTAATATCTGATCTGTGGTCCATCGGGCCACATTAAAAAAAAAAAAAAAAAAAAAAAAAATCTCAAAGAAAATTCTCCGTAAAAAAAACAAAGAATTCCACGTAAAAAATAAAAATAAAAATCTACGTACAAAAAACAAAAAAAAAAAGAATTCTCCGTAAAAAAAAAACAAAAGAAATCTCAAAGAAGGAAAAAAAAACGAAACACGAATTTGGCGCTGAAATGAGTTAGATACATTTGTCTGTGTGCACGTGTGAATCTTTAAAAACTGGCTGTGCTACTCGGCCACTTGCGGTCGAGTCATCAGGCCTGTCTCTCTTTTTTTTTTTTCTTTTTTTTTCCCGGCATCTGGCCTCTCTCCAGTACAAAAATACTCCGGGTAAAAAAAAAAAAAAAAAAAAAAAAAAAAAGAAAAACACTCCGGGTGTGTATACTCCATAGGACATGTATCTGGACCTCAGTAGTGGAGAGAGGGCAATCTTCTCTCCCCCGCTTGGCACGTCATCGGTCGCAATGACCTAATTAACTAAGGGCACATTACTCGCACTCGCCAGACTATTTTTTACTTCTTTCTGGACTCAATTTCCGTCAGATTCATCGACCTACGGCCGTTATTACGGCCAGATGCATTCAGGATAATTATGCTAGTCCGATTCTGCTCTCACGCTACTGGCAGAATACGCGGTTCGCTTGGAATTCCCAGTCGCCTATCTCATCCATGAGAAAGCAGCACTCCTTTCCGTTCTCCCAGAACTGTTGATCGGGGATCCACTCAATCCCATAACACTCTCTCTTCGCCTGGCACTTCTTCTGACACCCTTTCAAGGACGATGCGCTTTTATCGGATTTGCAATTTATTCTTTTGAAGATATGCCCGTCGTTGTTTTTGTCCCAATAGCAATCAAAGCGCTTACGGGAAGCGGCTACCGAAGACGGGTACGCAGCCAGCAAAACCAGGCCAACCGCCAATAGCGTCATGATAGCCATAACCGCCAGACTGCTAGCAGAGTGGCGCTTCATCGTGTCCGGAAAAAAGCGCTAAGTTAAATAAACCCTGCAGCAAATCATAGGGATAGAACGGCAGGAGAAACAGATCTTAGCATACAGACATGACAGCACACACACATAGCGTACTACACACATAGCACACGCATAGCATAAACACACATACCACACACGCAGCATAGACACATAGCAGATATACATAGCATACTGAATCTTATAGATTCTGAGGCGGCAACAAGATATAATAATGAAATTTTAAAACGATAAGCACGAGAAGACCCAATCGGGTTCCATGGATAGCATTTTCCACCCCGATTGGACCACCACCGGGGTACCCAACATTGGGGTATGCCCCACTGGATCTCTCTCTCTCTCTCTCTCTCTCTCTCTCTCTCTCTCTCCCCGTTAGGGATTGGACATGACCCGCACCGCACGTCCCAATATATTTATATGCATAAGAAAGACGAATAAATTGCGTAAGAATAGAGATATATATTATATATATATAAATATATATATTGTATACATACAACATGTGCGTACAAGCGGACTGAAGCAATAAAAGAGAGTACATATACTGTCTCTTATACACATCTAGATGTGTATAAGAGACAGGTGTGTGTGTGTGTGTGTGTGCATGTGTGTGTGTA